TGTCTGCTTTGCTATATGAGCCGTGCAGTGATTAACACGATAAAAGAGGTTTGTGGGAGTCACTTGTTCGTTTTTATGTTAGCTTCTACGTCATGGTGCTACGTCCCTTAGGACTTCGCTAGTGGATATCACTCGTGACCCCCAGGTCACACGCCAGAGAGATCAAAATAATTTGCTCCAATCACCAGCCACCTTCCTCTATAAATGCCCCTGCACAAGGCCGCACCCCCTCTTTCACTCTGGCGCCGTTCGAGATCTACCACAGTACTTACTTCATTCTGAGATGTCTTCCTTGTTCGTCCGAGTTCCCTTCGCCCTCCGGCGTCGGACGTCGTCACTGGATCCAGACGGTGGAGGACTTCACCTCTGTGGGCGCCACCACTCGAGGGAGGAGGAGGATAAAACCCACGTTGTGCCCGCGGATGGACCCGTTCGTCCATTACGCGACACGTGAGTGGCCTAAGCCCCTAGCAGCCAAGAGGCCTGCACTGGGGTACGACATATACTGCAGCGGGCAGGACTGGTCCTGGACCGGTGATCGAGGATTCAGTCCGCATGGCCCTGCAGCCCTCCGCATCCGTGTGGCCCGGCACCAGACCTCTCCTTCTCTCCGAGCGGGACAGGATGTCTTGCCGAGGCTGGATAGATATTATGCCAATGCGGCACAGTTCGTCACATTGGCTATCAACATGACTTTCATCACGGGGGCCCTGGATAGGGCGCTCTCCTCTGGCCAGGCGCTCAGTGGAGACCTCCTGTCACAGGCGAGGACCACCTCGGCGGCGATCCTGCGCATGTGCCAGACGCTAGCCGTGGATGGTGGCCAGGACACCGAGGATTCAGTCCGCATGGCCCTGCAGCCCTCCGCATCCGTGTGGCCCGGCACCAGACCTCTCCTTCCCTCCGAGCGAGACAGGATGTCTTGGCGATGCCGGATAGATGTTATGCCATTGCAGCACAGGTCCTCGCATTGACTAACTACATGGCATTCATCACGGGGGCCCTGGATATGTTGCTCTCTTCTGACCAGGCGCTCAGTGGAGACCTGTCACAGGCGAGGACCACCTCGGCGGCGACTCTGCGCATGTGCCAGACGCTAGCTGTGGATGGTGGCCGCTCCATGGCAGCAGCCCAAGTCGGGCCAGGCACCTTTGGCTTGGGCTGGCTATTATCAGGGAGGCGGAGAGGAGGCAGCTGCTGGACCTGCCCACCTCTCAGATGTCCCTCTTCGGCCCGGACATGCAGGCCTGGGTGGCGAGACTGGAGTCTGCAGCTAAAGACTCGGCTAGGCTAGCCCCGCACCTAGCACCGAGGCGCGAGGCCCACCAACCATCACGGAGCCGGGACAGAGGTCGAGAGCGTTGGCCCGGGAGGCATCCTGACCCGTATCCGCGCTCTGTTATCCATCGTCCCCCCTTGACGAGGCCCCCGGGTCCAGATAGACCCATGGGTGGCTCGCGGGAGCAACGCACCCACCACCGACCTCCCTATGGTAGAGGAGGCCGGGGTGGAAAAATTTTTCCTTCAATAAAGGCCGACCGGCATTTCCATTACTTTTCTGAGTCTCATTTGGGGGTATGTAACATGTCAAATATTGTGAATTCTGATTGTGTTACTTCCCGGGCACATAACGTTGCTTCGCTAGGCCTGCCCCCAGAGAGGGGCGTGCAGTGCACTACGAGCTCCGGTTTCTCTGATCCATACTATGCCCTCCCAGAGAGAGGTCAGGCGGAGGGATCTGGTGAGTGATATGTGTGTGCTTCGGCCGAACGCGTGTTAGCATTTTTGAGCTACAGGGCTAACACGGGGTTTCCCACTCCAGGGGCTCGCCCCCCCCTCCATGAGGCAAGAGCCAGGGGGGGGCACAGCAGCCGAGTCACGTGTGGTGAGCAGAGCTACAAGGCTGACACGGGGTTTCCCACTCCAGGGGCTCGCCCCCCCCCTCCATGAGGCAAGAGCCAGGGGGGGGCACAGCAGCCGAGTCACGTGGGATGAGCAGTCCCGTACTTATGACGTCGGGCCTGCAGGACACGTGACCGCCCCCGGCGCTCACGGTGTGACGCAGGGTGCCCCCCCGGCCCTTTCGTCCACCCCCCCTCCCTGCTAGGAACACCAGGAGAGGGCGGGGCCGTGACGTCTCGTGTTCCAGCTCCCGTTCCGCTCCTCACAGACTTCTACAGCATCTGGAGGGAGCAAAGATGGCTGACATATCTATGGCGGGAGAGAACATTGCGCAGGGGTTACGCACTGCAATTCTCCCAGAAGCCACCACCATTCCGAGGCGTACGGGCAGCACGCTCTCAGGTACGGGGTCATTAGAGGCACTGCAAGCGGAGGTCTCCTCTCTGCTGAGCCTAGGCGCAGCAGTGGAGGTAGACCCGCAGGAGGCCACCAGGGGGCTGTACTCCCCTTACTTCTTAGTGCCAAAGAAGTCAGGCGGGGTGCGTCCCATTTTGGATCTTTGCGTGTTGAACGAGTGCATTTCCAAACGGCAGTTTCGGATGCTGCCCACAAAGCAGCTCCTCGAGTGTGTCAGGCAGGGAGATTGGATATCCTTCATAGACCTGACAGATGCGTACTTCCACGTGCCGATAGTACCGGAACACAGGAGGTTCTGCGCTTCGCAGTGGGAGAGAGGAATTACGAGTACTGTCGTTTTCCCCTTGGGCTACGCACTCGCGCCGTGGAGCAGGGGTAAGAATTAATCTACATAGACGTCGGGTTGATTCTGGCCTCACCCAGGGAAGTGGCCGTGAGTCATACGCACTGGGTCCTGTCCCACATACAGCGCCTGGGCTTTGTGGTTAACAGGGAGAAAATTAACAGTTACCTTTGTAACTTAAGTTCTACGAATAGGTGCACGTGATATCCCACTAGCGAAGTCCGCTAGGGGACGTAGCACCATGACGTAGAAGCAGGCTGCAACCGGCTCAGCGCATGATCTATCTCGGTCTGCAGCTAGACTCTGTGACATTCCGTGCTGCATGGTCCGTGGACAGACGGATGAACACTACCCGTCTGCCCGGGGAGGTTCTGGCGGGCCCCAGAGTCCCCGCTCGGCGCCTCAGGTCCCTGCTGGGAATGATGGCGGCGGCTCATGCTGTGGTGCGGCTAGGCCTTCTCCACATGAGGAATTTTCAGAGGTGGTTCTCACGCCTCAGGCTTCACCCCTCCCGGGACGGGGGGAGGCTGATCTGGGTTCCCCAAGTGGCAGCATCGAACATCAGGTTCTGGCTCACTCCGGGTCTTCTACGGGACGGAGTGACTCTGGCCGGCGCCGTGTCTCACGTGGAGATGTTCACGGACGCGTCGCTCGAAGGATGGGGCGGGGTCCTCGGCCAAAGTTCTGTAGGAGGCTGCTGGTCGGACTCAGCCCGTCACATCAACCTGCTGGAGATGGAGGCAGTGCACAGGGTACTGCTGCACTTTGCTCCTCAGCTGCAGGGGAGACACGTGATGGTGCGCTCAGACAACACCACAGTGGTCTCCTATCTGAACAGGCAGGGGAGCACCAGGTCCCCCGCTCTCCATCGCATGGCAAAGGTGACGCTGCTGTGGGCGGCGCTTCACCTCCTGTCTCTCAGGGCGCGCCACGTCCCGGGGGTCCGGAACGTGGGGGCCAACAGGGGGGCCCACTCCAGGACGAGTGGGGCCTGGCCCCAGGGGTGGCTGCGGAGATCTGGCGGAGGTTCGGCCGTCCAGTGGTCGACCTTTTTTCGCCAGTGCAGGAAACGCACAGTGCCCGTCCTGGTTCGCCTCAAGGGCCGCGGACCAGCCGCCTTTAGACGTGGACGCTCTGGCTCATTACCCCTGGCCAGGGGGCCTGCTGTACGCGTTCCCCACCAGTGCGTCTCCTGCCGGTCCTGCTGCGGAGGATCGAACAGGAGAGGAGGTCGGTGATCCTGGTGGCGCCGGACAGTCCGCATGCTCGGTGGTTCCCCTTCCTGAGGGGCATGGCGGTGATGGAGCCCTGGGCCCTCCCGGACGAGCCGGGGGCTCTAGTCCAGGGGGGGAGGAGCCCTGTTTTCACGCCCGATAATCGGCCGCAGGCTCTGGGTTGGAGGCTGAGAGGCGGAACCTCGTAGACCTGGGTCTTCCCCCTGCGGTGGTGGAGACCACTCAGGGGGCGAGGGCGCCGTCCACTGTGAGGGCCTACGCCACGAGGTGGAGGCTATTTAGCGACTGGTGCGGTTTTTCGTTCCTGGGATCCCAGGCGTTGCCCGCTGGAGGGGGCCTGGGATTCCTACGGGAGCTCTTTGACAAGGGGAGGGCTGTCGCCACCTTGGCGGTGTTCGCGGCAGCCATTACTTCGGGTCACAACGGATTCGGGGGGTTCACAGCCCGCTCTCATCCGTTGGTTAAACGTCTTCTGCGGGGGGCACGCAGGAGGAGGCCCCCGCTCCAGAGAACGCCCCGGTTTGGGACCTCAGGGTGGTCCTTAGGGGGCTGTCGGGTCCGCCTTTTGAACCGGCGGCGGAGGCGAGTCCCGAGTGTGTCGCTTTAAGACGGCCCTCTTGTTGGCGTTGGCGTTGGCGTCTGCTAAGAGGGCGGGCGACTTGTGTGCGCTCTCTGTCCATGCGTCTTGCCTGTCCTTGGAGAGGGCGACGGCATGGTGGTATTGTGGCCCAATCCGGCTTTTCTCCCCAAGGTCATCACGTCGGCCTTTAGGTCGAGAGTCATCAGGATTAGGGCTTTCTATCCGCCACCGCATGCCTCCCCCGAGGAGGAGCGGCGGCACCTTCTGTGTCCTGTCAGAATGCTGAGGCATTACCTGGCCATGACGTCGTCATTCAGGTTGGGTGGCCAGCTGTTGTGTGTCTGGGCCCCAAGAACAGGGGCGCCCCGCTGTCGGCTCAGCGGCTGGCGCACTGGGTTGCCACGGCTGTGCGGCGGGCGTATCAGACGCAGGGTCTGGCCCTCCCGGTGGGCTTCAGGTCGCATTCCAGGCGTGGGATGGCGGCCTCTACGGTCCTTCTCAGGGGGGTGTCGGTCGAGGACGTATGCCGTGCGGCTTCTTGGGCTTCGTCCTCCTCTTTCGTCCGGTCTTATCTTTTGGATGTGTCGGACCGGTCGGTGGCCCATTCCGTGTTGAGTGCAGCGGACTGAGGTAGACCGTTAGGTCCCTCCTCTGAGGGGGCCTTCGGTTTGCTTTCCGCCCTGGTTCAGGAGCTCTTGGGAGAGGCATCCTACAGGTGCGGTACATATATGTGTGTTTTGGTCGGTCTGGTAGTCCACGTCAGGAGCCCTTGGGAGAGGCGTCCTGTGACTACGGATGACCTATATCTGTGTTACGTGGGGGTATCCTTGGTAGGAGTGGCCCTGTAACACGCATTGTTTCTTCTGCCCTGAGTCCTCTCACTTTGTGAGGGTCTTGCTCGGGCGGAGCTCCAATCACCCTTCGCTGGCCTGTTGGGAGTACATTTTCCTACGGCCTCCGCGTTGTGTCCCACTAGCGAAGTCCTAAGGGACGTAGCACCATGACGTAGAATTAATAGTTACTTAATGTAACTTAAGTTCTACGAATAGGTGCGTAGTCCCTTAGCTACGAGCCCATCAGGCCAGCCCGGCTTGGCAGAGTTCAAGAGGGGGTGCGGCCTTGTGCAGGGGCATTTATAGAGGAAGGTGGCTGGTGATTGGAGCAAATTATTTTGATCTCTCTGGCGTGTGACCTGGGGGTCACGAGTGATATCCACTAGCGAAGTCCTAAGGGACTACGCACCTATTCGTAGAACTTAAGTTACATTAAGTAACTATTAATTTCTATTGTGGCTAAGGAGCGAGCTTGTTAACGGTCTGTGCTAAACGTAACGTTACTACATTTGATATTAATTGGTGGGCTTGTTTAAATGGATCATACAAGATGCCAGCGTGACTATTCTTTGTTCCTTATGGGCTGAAACTGGCATTAAAGTGGCGCAATGCGTCGGCTATCTGGCGCTCATTGGGCTACTAGCCACGCTAGCCTTGACATCGCTCTCGTCTAACTTGTTAGTTAACCCTAACCAGACGAAGTGAGTAGCTGTGGTTAACACTTAACGATGTAATCGATCAAGATATGTGGGGATAACTGATCTGACAGATCATTTATCAATAATTGCGCGAAGTTGACCCCCGCTTTCGTAGCTCTGTTTTTCCAGGTTAGCCACTCGGATGTGGTAGTGCTAACCCAAAGCATCCTATAGATTCATGGTGCGGGCACACAGTTTAGAAATGCTCATAAGAGGACCGTAAATGTGAAATGGCCAATGCTGGCTTTATATGTGATATTTGAGGTGAGTGCGGTGTTCACCCTGTCATGGAAGCAGGAGGCTAGCGTTGAGTTTGAGGGCTGCTACGGAAGCACGAGTAAACTGAGCCGTTTTATTGCATACAAGATATACTTATGGTAATTAATTCTTGCTCGCGTAGTTGATTATTGCTTACATTTTCCACTAGTCTTGTAAATTTTAACGAGCCTTTTTAAAATATTTTAGATAACCCGTGTTTATGAATTTCATGATCTGTAATTTAAATAGCTATAATACATACATTATAATTTAGCATTTGTTTAAAGATGCTTAATTTGGCGGTGTGTGCAGTTTGACAGGTAAGAATATATACATATTTTTTTTATTTTGTTCTTTTTTTCCCTGTCAGATGGAGGAGAATCCCAGATCTCTTGTGACTATTGTGCTGGATGACAAAGAGATTGCCAAAAGAGTTTACCATCTCAACACAATTAAAGAACTGATTGATAAAAGCACAAGCTTTTTAACAGACAAAGCCGACTTTCATTCTGTTCAAATATACAGTGAAGATTTTAAGGAATTTATTGATGCGGATGTCAATGTACTTGTCCAGAACCTTGACAAATACAGAATTTCATTTAAATCATACACTTCGGAATATCAGGTTTGTAATGTTCAACTATTGGTAATATTTTTTATTTCTTATTGTAACCTCAACTTTTATCTGTTTACTGTTTTTCCTTCCTAAGAACCAGCCCTCGGGTTCAACTTCAATTGGAGCCATTGCTTCATCTACAGTTGGACTGTCAGAGGTATGTCATTTGTTTACATGTTTTACATTATATTGTAGTGAATGATGAATCCTGAGTAATTTTAATAGTGTGTCAAAGTACATTCTTTTCACAACTTAAAATGTGAAGTAATATATATTATGGACTTATGGTAAAGTGACTAGTGCCAATTATTTATGCCTTTATTCTAAATTGCATTATTTTGCTTGTAAAAACCACAAATGCAGTCTTTGTCCTGACTCTGGACTTGGTCCTGATATCTTTCTGTAATTATGTTGCAAAGGTAAATTCCTTTTTCGAGATCTCCTTTTTCCATTGTCGATTCTCCTCCATATCTGACTTTAAAAAAGAAGAAAAAAATGTTTTGCCTTCTTTTTATGTATTAGTTTCACATAATTACATTTTTCATGATTTTCAAATGTTTCAGCATTCACCTGTATTCATGGATTTCATTGTTTTTTGCAGAATGAACCACAGCCAGGCAATGATAGTTTGAGAAAACTGTTGAAGGAAAAAGCCCCAAATCTCCTCTTGGAGTTCGAATCATCAGGCAGTCTTTCCATCACGTCACGAAAACTGCTTGTTAAAGTATCTGTGAGCCATCTCGTGGAACAGAAGGGATTGTAAGTATTTCAAAATACTCGTATCTACACCTGTACACACACTGCAGTCCAAAAGTCTGACTGATGGCTTTCATTTCAACCAAGCAGGGGCACACCAGACCCCCTCCAATTCTCATGTAAGAAGAAAGTCTTGAGGAAATGGGTGGAGTCCGGTGTGGCTCTGCTTGGTTGGAATGAACCTGTAACTAGGCCTATCACGATAACAATTTTGATGGACAATAAATTGGTTCACAAACATAACGCGATACATGATGCCTTTTGATTCTAATACAAAAACCAAATAAGCAATTTCTACATTTGTCAATTTCACTAAGTCATGCATTATGAAAGTTAACAAAATTAAGTCATTTGACCTTGAACTGTTGACTTTTTGCATTTGTTTCTTAAAAAGAAAGAAAAAGAAATGATTATTATAATGCAATTTACATCATTGAATATGTCAGACCTTTTGTTAATGCAGAGTTTTAAGATAAGATTACAGTTATGGTATCTATATTAAAATGTATCATACAGTTAATCATACTTTTGTCTGTTACTTAGCTATCCCTCAAAGGATGACAAAATACTTCTGACTAGAAGTATAGTAAGTCTTCCCCTCGCTAAAGATAAACTACCAGGAAAAAAATGAAGGATTTGTGAGTATATTTACACACACGTGTGTGTGTGTGTGTGTGTGTATAATATATACACATGTATAACTGTTCTTTTTTTTTATTGTCTAGGAGCATTTCTTTGACCCGGTTTCCCATTGTGGGTTTATTGAAATGAGGCTGAGGAACCTCCGCAGAAGTCTTCACGAAGATCAGCGGCGATACCGGAAAAGAGTTTGTTGTAGTGTACCCGATCCTGATGTCATAGTTACCCTTCACATGGCAGAGCAGGAGGCAGAGGCTACACTGGAGTGGACATCTGCTATTAAAAGGATGAAGCCCATCCCTGAGAACATTGCAACAATCAAAATGGGCATGGATAAAACATTCACAAGTCGGAGGCTTTGGATTTCAACAGAGTCTCCCACAATGCAGGAAATTGTCGCTCACTATCCAAGCTTTATTGACCTACTGTGCTTGGTAAACATTACATCTTCTTAACCAATAATTGTGTTCTCTAAATGTATCATTGGACATAGTAACAAGAGAATTTGAAATGGAGATGGAAACTGCTCTGAAAAAGTTTAGATTTGAAAGTGTCAATCAATTCTTACAATTTGTCTCTATGAAAACTTAATATAGCAAGGTTGGCTTTATTTGTCTAAATTCTCTTTCTCTGGCTCTTTATCGCCTCAAACACTTTTGTGTTTGTACAATTACATAGTTAAACTATTGTATTATACACTTGCTCATAAGGTCATGGTAGTTTAATTGCTGTTTGTTTGCACATGACGCTTACATGTATTTTTGTTTACAGATTGACATTGAATTTGGGAAGTTGTTCCCTGGGAAGCAAGACAACTTCCTTTGCAAGTGGGAAGCTTATGATTTGAATAAGGAATCTGCAAAGCGCTCTAAAGTCTTAGAGCTGATTTCCAAATTGCATGGAATGTAAATTATCAACCAACATGTATACTTGTCCCAAGTGCAAAAGAGCAGTGTCAAAGCACATAAGACAACTCATCAATCATCTCAGACAAGTGCATGCACTAAGTGATGCACAAGATTACACCATTGTGTGCCACCAGGACAATTGTCAAAGAACTTATCACAAATTAAATTCATATGCTAAACATCTAAAGAGAGTTCACTCTCAGATTGTACAACCAGTAACGGAGTCATCGGCTAACCATGACATTGTGTTTGAGAAAGCCAGTGAAGAATCTCCCATTAGGATGGACACTTCAGACACAATTTTGGACTCAGTCAGAATGAAACATACTGTTTTATAACATTATCATGTGCTTCAGTCAGAATGAAACATACTGTTTTATAACATTATCATGTGCTTCAGTCAGAATGAAACATACTGTTTTATAACATTATCATGTGCTTCAGTCAGAATGAAACATACTGTTTTATAACATTATCATAACGTCCTGTAGCTAGCTTAGGTCCTAGATCAGGGGTGCTCAATACGTCGATCGCGATCTACCAGTCGATCGCAAAGGTAGTATTGGTAGATCGCATTAAATAAATGAAAAAATTACACATTCTAAACGAATATATACAAAAAACTCCGGGCAAAGTGGAGATTTTTGAAAACTCCGTTAATGCATTTGTGTGTAGACAGAGATAACCGGAGTTTTGCGTTCTCGTACGCCAAAGTACCCCCCTAAATTCCTCTGATCACTGAAGCCTGGATCATACGACCTTAAAAACTGTTCGCTGTGAGATGCTCGCAGCAGCAAACATCCTCCACATCAGAGAGCAGCAAAGTGATCGCGGGGACTCACGCTCGAAAACAACCAAACCAGGACTAAACCAGGACTAAACCAGGACTAAACCAGGACTAAACCAGGACTGAGGACGGGGTCAGTGCTTGTAAACATACGTCTTTACTCTGAGTGTCTTCTATGACTGTAAAAGTGCCGTTACCGGCGTCTGCATCAAAGCTCCGCCCACTTCTGTGTTTTTCCCCAACGCAGGACAGGACGTAAGAGACGCACATGTTTGGAATGTTACGAATGTGATTGATAACGCAGATGTGTGGATGCAAATTATTTTATAAACTGAGGAGGGGAAATATTTGGATTTAAAAAAAAACAGGCATGGCACATGGACATGGCACCACAGTAAAATGACATCTGTGTTTTACTCAGTAATGTTTTACTGACACTTAGGTGACTGCACATGCGCAAACAACTGCGCTCAGTGCAGGAAAGCTAAACCACGACAAACTTGTCAGCGAGTTACCACCAATTTTCCGGACTATGCCTCCCTGGCCGATTCAATTCAGTGCAAGTCATCAGAGTAAACTCGGGTAATGACAAAAAATGTACATAGGTAATTGTGTTGTGCTAAATTGGCTCATGCGGTTTTGCATGTACATAAACATACATTGTAGGTATAAAGAATATTTTTTTAAATAAATATATGATTTGCATTTTTGTAGTAGGTAGATCATTTTGACTTGATCCTTTTATAAGTAGCTCGCATGCTGAAAAAGTGTGAGCACCCCTGTCCTAGATCATTAGCCTGTCCATCCGGAGGAGCGGATCCCTTTCTCATATGGGTCTCCCTCCCTGTGGGTTTCCCTAGTGCTCCCCAAGGTTTCTCACTTTTTCCCACTGGGTTTTTTAAGAGTTTTTCCTTGTCGATGCAGGAGGGTCTTGTTGGACAGTCAGTGTCCAACAGAAAGGATTGGTGATGATCAGGACACTTTAGCATTCTACAACATGTATGGACATTTTCTTCTGTGTGTGCTTTATATTCTTCATGTGTTTTAACTGTTGATTCTCTGACCTGTGTTGGTGATTTCAATGGTTTTGTTAAGTCCTCTGAGATGACTTCTGTTGTGACCTAGGGCTATACAAGAATAAATTGTATTGTATTGTATTGTAATTGTCATGTGCTTCAGTCAGAATGAAACATACTGTTTTATAACATTATCATGTGCTTCAGTCAGAATGAAACACTGTTTTATAACATTATCATGTGCTTCAGTCAGAATGAAACATACTGTGTTAAAAATGTTATTACAAAATATATACAGTATATGGGTTCACAGTCTGGAAGTCACTCATTCGCAGCCCTTCCTCCCCCAGACGAATAAACAAAGCCCACCCTAGCCCCCTGTTGTTTCGGTCATCACCTCATTTGACATGCAAATGTTAGCCATGTCTCAGCAGCTCACAGCCTGACTGGAATCAGGGGCTGTGCAGATTGTCCAAGTGTGCTGGTCCAGATGCATGGTTTCTCTTGAGGTTTCTCAGTTTTGGCTTAAAAAAAAAAACCACATTTTTGTGTAAAAAAAAAAAAGTAGTCTGTTCTCTAGATGTTACAGACAATGCCCGCATTCTCCACCACCTGAAGAAGATGACAAAGTCTGGGATCGCGTCTTAAATTCAGACAGAAGACATGTTTTATTGTCGATGGTAGAGACAGCACGATCACAGATACAACAGAATGCAAGTGTATTATACAGAGCGGAGGCATGGAGACCTCCAATCAGCAGCTTCCACGTTGTGCTTGTAGCTTGGCCTTCAGATAGACAAAACATGAAGTGGAAAAGTACAGGCTTCTGCACATTGATAGAATGATGAGTTTAACTTTAACAAAAGTTGCTTAAAAGTGTTATGAAATCTCACATTCCCCCCCTCTGGTCACACATTCACGTGTGACCATCAGGATCGATAAACAGCAACATAACATCATAACTCAATACTTAAACTCGGTACTTCACTCGGTACTTCAAAAAACTCAGAAAACTCATAAAACATTTTCAGATCTTTCATTAAACTTGTCAACAATCTTCAGTAAAATACCAAACTTCATCAGTCGATGGTTCTCAGATATTGCTTTGAAAACAGTCTCTCCCACTTCTCCGTGTTGATTTCTTCAGGCTGCATTTGTGTCGAGCCATGAATTCTTCTGTGACGTGTCTTTCAATCGCACGTTTCAGCTTTAGTGTCCAGATTCAGCAATCCAATTCAGTCCAAATTATGTCCAAATTCAGAAATCCAGATTGTTCCAAATGATGTCCAAATTTTGTAATCCAATTGTTCCAAATGATGTCCATGCAAAAGAGGACGCTGGTGTTGTCCATGTCTCAGCAGCTCACAGCAGGCCTGAGTGGAATCAGGGGCTGTGCAGATTGTCCATGGGCTGATCCAGATGCATTCTCTTGAGGTTTCTCAGTTTTGGCTTGAAAAAAAAAACACATTTTTGTGTAAAAAAAAAAAGTCTTCTGTTCTCTAGATGTTACAGACAATGCCCGCATCCTCCACCACCTGAAGAAGATGACAAAGTCTGGGATCGCGTCTTAAATTCAGACAGAAGACATGTTTTATTGTCGATGGTAGAGACAGCACGAACAACAGATACAACAGAATGCAAGTGTATTATACAGAGCGGAGGCATGGAGACCTCCAATCAGCAGCTTCCACAGTGTGCTTGTAGCTTGGCCTTCAGATAGACAAAACAAGGGAAAAGTACAGGCTTCTGCACATTGATAGAATGATGAGTTTAACTTTAACAAAAGTTGCTTAAAAGTGTTATGAAATCTCACAATCATTATGGTAGAACTGTGACAAATGTAAACAATAAAAAAACACACCTTGTCGTGTTAGGAAAAATGTTCAGGATGTAAAAAGATAAAGTATTGTATGAAATCAGATTGACAGATTTTGGTTTTGAACGAGTTCAACAGTTTTGTATGTGATGACCAAAGCCATGAAATGAGCTTTAGTTTTACAGGGAGAAACTATTCAGTCGTGATAAGTTTTATTTTGACTAACAGGACAGAAGCAAATGACAATATTTATTTTTACCAACCGTAATCGACAGGGCCAAGCCAAAGTAGCCCTGTATATTTTCTGGGTCAGTCTTAGAAACATTAAGCCTAGCGTACATTGACAGAGAAACTGGGGACAACTAGTTGCAAGGCGGCTTTTGGCAACTGAGAGG